AAATCATTCAGAGCAATATTCCCTGAGGGAACCTCCAAATTTAGGATAAAAGCCTCAGAGAGTCTACAAAGTTCCCCATGATATTGACTAACATGACCTGACAGTGGATTCTTTTAACTCTATTTTTAGTCTCCTACTCCATTAAAGACAAAAGGCTTTAGTAATGGAAGACCTTCAGGAACAAAAGATTTGAAAGGAACAAACATAAACCTTTATGTAAAATGTTCAAATGGGAAAATCCAACTTAAAATGTGTAGACTCGGCCTTCCGTTAAAAACCTCCAACAATTTATTTATTTACAGTGAAAATACGTTCAATATATGCAGATCCTACTACACATATTCCATTCAATGTACACAACACTCCGTAAAACTACACGTACCGATCAAAAAGCATTCTAGATAGATTCTTATCTGCTCAGGCAGAAGTACGTATAAATTATACCCTTTGGGGAAAGGATTTTATTTACCAAAATAACAAGCATGCAAGCGATACAATTAAGGTTCTTAAGAAGCTTGGGGAAAAGAGAAACATGAATGATGAAGTGAGGGATACAAAAACCACAGTACTTTTTTCCTCAACTCTGGACATTTTTGAAGCACTAGGAAAAAGACGAAATTTGTCAGCTCAACCTCAGTGTAGTTGAAATGACTGAAAATCCATCACCATCTGAATTACCACTGTAAGAGAGAACGGGAGAAAAGCTTTCTGTGGCTTGGGTTTTTATTAACGATGGGCAAATCCCCAAATCATAAAACAGCTCATATTCATCTGTTATCCATCCCTCTAATTTCACAGGTGGCAGTCCTGGCTTTATAACAAAGACCCTGTTTTGACAGAAAACATGAGTGCAATGCTTCACCCTGCTAAGTCATCCAGAGTAGGCCTGGGAGATACAATAGATGAGAGTGAATTAAAAATTCAATTTATCCATACTTCACTAGGCTGTAAACAAAGAGAACTCCAACCTCCAGAAAGAGCCTGTTTTGTAATGTTCAATATTTAGTTTCTCCGCAGTCTGCTGGCATGGCTATAAAAGCACCAGGGGCCTGGTTTTCCTTGGGGATACTAAAGAAAAGAGCTTTCGGTCAGGAGAACAACAGGGAGAGACTATCTTTCCTTCAATTAAAATGGAAACAACCCAAATATTATCAACAGGCAGATGAATAAACAAAGTGCAGTATATCCATATAATGAAACACCACCTAGCAAAAAAAAAAAAAAAAAAGAGCTAAGGATACATGCGACAAGATGAGTTTCAAAAGCCTTATGCTCAGGGAAGGGGGGGAAGGGATAAACTGGGAGTTTGAGATTTGCAGATACTAACTACTATATACAAAACAGATAAACAACAAGTTTATACTGTATAGCACAGGGAACTATATTCAATATCTTATAGTAACTTATGGTGAAAAGAAGATGAAAACAAGTATGTGTATGTTCCTATATGACTGAAGCATTGTGCTGTACACCAGAAACTGACACAACATTGTAAACTGACTATACTTCAATAAAAATAAATACCCAAAAAAAAGCATTATAAAGAGGCCACACTCAAAAGTCTAATTCTGCATAATTCCCTTCATTTAAAATGCTGGGGGTGGGGCAGGGAAGACAGAGCTAATGTGATGAAAAGCAGCTCAAGAGTTGCCAAGGACGAAGTTGGGAAAGGAGACTGACTGCAAAGGGGCACAAAGGAATTGGGGGAGGGAAAGCAGGTGACAGAAATCTCTGATGGCTGTGGTGGCAGTCACAACTACACCACTTGTCAAAACTCATCAATCTGTACAGTTAAAATCAGCAAACTTCACCATATGTAAATTACATCTCAATGACACTGATTTTTAAACAGGACAATGGAAGGTGGAAATATCTTACTAGCGTGTGAACAAGAAGTGATTAAGATTGGTCGTCCAACACTGCTGATTCTTCTCATGATTCTCATCTGAGCACTGACTTCACATTTCAGTGCAAGGGAGAAACATGCAAATAAAAAGGAAAATCCCATCCTGTCAGAGTAAATGAACAACTGAATCTCTAGAATGTGCATTTTGCATTAACGTATTTTATTCTACAAACTTGACCATGCAATAAGCATTCTAAATGACCCTTAGATTTTACATACCTATCGCCTGTCATGAATAAAATGATTCAATCATGTTACCTCGTGCTTCAACTGCACTGATGCATTTTCTAAGAATTGTGAATCCCATTTTATCCAACTGTGCACCTGAAAGAAATAGTTATAAAATATTAAAGGCATAACTAATTACCCATAATTCTCTCCGTTATAAAAATAGGACAATATTACTTAAGTCCAATCTAATTTTTATTTCACTCTTTAAAAAAAAAAAGAAGAGAGAAAGCTAAAGGCCAGATATTCCCTGTTTAAATAACATAAATGAGAATTTCCTATATGAAGAGGCACATCTACTGGAATATCTGGACATCTATTACCAGTATTTATAAATAAATTAACAATTTAACATAACTTTTAAGTTAATAAATATGATATTTTAAATAATGGAAAGAAAGTGATACAAGTCTTTAGGGGAAGCTATCTAAAAATAGTTAACATTTTGCCCAAATTCCAACAACAGCTAAGTTTTTTCTTAATTATATATATGAGTGAAAGTTCTTAAATTAATTAACAGCTAAAGAAATAACGAACTTTTTTTTTTAAACCTAGAGAAAAAAACCTAAAGAAAAAAAAAGTTAAGAAACTCTTAAAAAATAATATTTGGGCCACGAGCTTGAAATTTTTTTCATATTTTATACCATGCTCTAAGTGTTTAAAATAGTATTTTATTATTCCTAATGAATTTATTACAGATTCATGTAGCAAAAAAAGATTATTTTGAAAATATAATTTTATATATTTTTTCTAACATAAACATTTGACCATAATTAGTCAAATCTGACCAACTATTTGAGTATCCTAATACAAGGCAACTCTTCTTGCAAAACTGAAACCAGGGAAGGTGAATGCTTCATTCTGTATTTAAGGAGCAGTAATTGTAACTCTTGGTTCTCAGAGGGGAGAGCATGAACAATTCATGAACATAAACTTTACAGACTTAAAGCTGAGCTTGAAGAGTATATTAATGAAAAAAACTGGGCTGCAGTTTACTTTTTAAGGGTCCACTATTCACAACATTTTATAAAATGCAAGCGTTTCTTTCTGCTTCACAAAACCACTTTTCTAAAATATGGCATGACTTCACATCTCTATAAAAACCAGAAAAAAAGGGAAGAAAGAAGAAGAAAAGAAGAAAGCAAAAGAAAAGGAAAAAGGAAGAAGAGAAAGACAAGAGGGGAAAGGTCAGGCAGGTGCTTCTGTAGACGGACAACTTCCCGTGGCATCTGGTCAGTTTCCAGGGCCGGGCTAGAGGAGACATCCTCCATTCCAGGGTTGGCTCAAGTGACACACACATCGTGATCATTTTGAAATCATGTTATGTAACCATGTTTCCAAACTGTGGGCATCTGACAAACAGAGCTTAATTCCTCCAAAGCCATTAAAAGTAGATTTGTAAAGAATGCAGCAAATTTGATCACATTTTCATTTCATCTCAGTAAAAATCAGTCAAAGTGCAAAGCTAGGTAGTACTTCACGTCAACGCCAGGTGAAGAGCACTGTCCCAGAATATCTGAAGGCGCCTGGCTGCTGTTGCGTGTTATTTTCTACGGTGCAATGTGGTACTATTGGTGCAGACTATACTCCAAAGACGTTAAGGATAAAGGACATCAGGGCGGAGGTAAGGGGGGTTGGGAACAGGCAACCTGATTAACATTTCCTACCCACAGGAGTTCAAACCTTAGGAAGTTGAAAGTTGCATTCCTGAAACTCGTATGTGTTCATTTATGGCTGTAAGAATAACATCAAAGTGAACTATAAAAAACGTATTTTGGTTTTTGTAGAGAAAGACTATGGGGGCAGGGGGAAGTCTCAGAGCTGGACAGATCAATGAAGGTCCCAGCAGCTGAGGGAAACTAGAGGAAGTTCTCAGTGGATAAGACAGAACACATCTACTACTTAGAGAACTAACATATGGTGCAGAGCGACAGGCTGACATCAGAAATAAAAACAGTAGTTCGTGGGAAAGGGAGACAACAATTTTAATAAACTAGCACTTACTTCCTTCTGGTCTTGGGATGATGGCTCTATTAAAACTATAGAACACCTAGTAAAAGAGAAAAAAGGGAAACAGCATTTTTAACAAATCAATAAAAATGGTTCTAGTAGACATACCTAGGACTGTACAAAAAATACACTGATACTGGTTAAGCCCTTTCATGTGCTCAAATGCAAAGACAGGTAACAAAAAGGAGCACTCTGAGTCTACTTTGTCTCTCATGGAGGCATGCCAAAGTAGCCAAAATAAGATGAAAGGGGGTTAGGACTGAAAGGTAAATTTGAAATGCTCAGAGATTGCGTTCTAACCAATACGGTGAAGCCCAGTTTTTCGCCACTATTTCTAAAATCTAGTATTTCCTTAAGAAAGACGTGACTCCTGCACATAATCTGAATGACCACATCTGAAACCCCGAGGTGATTCCGGGCTGCCTCTTAGAATTCTAGCACTGCCCCATTATTTGCAAGCTACATAATCAACTGGAAAAAATACATGGTACCTTAAAAGTCCCCACATAAACACATAGCTGAATATTTTCTTTGTGCAGACTTGTGTTTGTATATTGCAAATTAATTACTTGGCTTTTTACTCTAAAGGAGAGGTTTGTATGTCTTCAAGGTTACATTGCCTTTGGCAACAGACTTATGGCTACATGACTTAGTCACGTGGTCATTTTGCTCTGCAGATATGCAAACTCAACTTTCCAAAGCCCTTCTTGTATCTCTAGGGGGATGAGTCCTGATCAGTGCATTGCCTTTGCTGGAGAGGATTAGGATAACCTGTTCTGGATCTCAGCAACCATCAATGCTGTAAATCCTCTTGACTGCCAGCTAAAAATTTCAAGGACAAATTAAGAAGAAAGAGACAGAACTAAAACCACAGAGACTAAACGTAGATCGAGTATAATAAAGCGATACACAAATCTGATCACTGCTTTCTTCCTCCAAGGATGATGCATATTTTAAAAACAGATCCTATATAGGAGAATGTAACTTGGGCTTCCGTTTGTCAAACACCACACCAAGGCTGCTGCCCAGCCCCCGTGCCCTATTCCCTCTATTCTCAGTGTCCTCCCCGTTACCACCAGATAACATTATCTTTTGCCCATTTCTTAAGCTCAGTTCTGACACCACCCCACCTCCTTTTTTTTTTTTAAACTATATATGACCCCTCTTCTATTTCGCAAACCAGACTCTTTCCCTCTCTTTAAATCCGGCATAAAATGGCAAATGCTTTCCGGATGAGCCCACCTGGTACCTGCACTGGCTGTTTACTTAGAGTCATAATACTTTTAGCAGAGTTTATTTAAATTGGTTAAAACGGTGTTTTCTATAATTATCCTCACTAAGCTCCCCATTCAATATGTGATCTGCCAAATTCTCAACTCCCAGATGCCACCGGTCCACTGAAACGAAAGCAGTACTTGAATAAAGTGGCAAACAGACTGCCTCTGGGTCTCCATCATCGCCTTTAATTTATTCCTCAAACCAGTCAGAAGACAGAGGCCCATTCACCAAGGCTACATAATACTGCAGACTGCGAGCCCTGAGGCTAAACCATAAATTGTTCAATCAGGCAACATTAGCACAGCGGTCACGTGTACCACCGCCAGCACAGCCGCACAGGTACGGCTCCACCTCCTCTGAGAATCAAAGCGAACTGCAAGCATTTACTGCCTTCATCACCCAAAGTACTGTCAGGCAGGAAGGAAGAAATTGAGAATGTGGATGACTTCCTCAAGCAAAGCAAATCAAAGCGGCAAAGTCAAGAGAAATCAAAAATAAAAACTAACGATACAGCAGCCTTCCACGTGCCGCTGAGACCTCAAGCCAAATTACTAGGATATTGGATGCTTCCAAGAGGAATTCAGACACCAGCTTCAGCAGGGAATTTTTTTCAACTACTATAAAGCAAAAATAACAGGAAAATGAACACAAGTCCACTCTAAAGGATCTGAAGGAAAACTCAACCATCAGTTATTCTTACAGCTTCTTTTCCACCCAGAGCTTCCAACCACTGCTTCCGTTCCTCCTCGGAGAACGCCTGCATGGTCAAGGAAACACCGGGCCTGAAAGACACCAGGAACAGATCAAGTTACCCTTGGTTGCTGGAAACAAACCTCCTTTTCTCTCTCATGTTTTATGGTGGTAATTAAGTTGCTTGCTTTAAATTTTTAATTGTGATAAAATACACAGGACAAAGTTTACCATTGTCACCATTTTGAACTACACAGTTCAGCAGTATCGAATACTGTCATTCCATTGGGCAACCAATCTCCAGAACGCTTCCTCTTGTAAAACTGAAACTCTCATATCCAATGAACAACAACTGTTTCCCCTCCTCCCAGCCCGGCAACCACCTCTTACTTTCTGTCTCTAGGAATTTGATTACCCTAGCTAACTCCTCTTACAGCACTTGTCCTTCTGAGACTGGTTTACTTCACTTGGTATAATCCCCTCCACTTTCATCCGTTACAGCGTGTGTCAGAATTCCTTTCCTTTTTAAGGCTGAATAGTTTTCATTGTATGTATACACCACATTTTGTTTATCCATTCATCCATCAGTGGACACTTGGGTGATTTCTACCTTTTGATTACCATAAACAATGTTGCTACTAACATAGGTGTATGAATACCTCCGCAAGACCTTGCTTACAATTCTTTCAGGCATATACCTGTTGACTGAAAAAAATATGTACAACCTCAAAGTTGAGAGTTATGTTTTATTCAGCGGCCTTTGTGAGTACTTGAGCCTGGGAGGCAGCCTCTCAGATAGTGCTGTGGGACTGCTCCAAAGAGGCAAGGGAGGAGCCAGGATATATCTGAGTTTTTGCAATAAAGACCAGGTAGTCAGAACATCAAAAGATTACAGAAGTCTGAGCTCACTGAAATCACTCCTTTCATATGCACCTTGGCTATCCAGGGCCAGTATCCTGTGCCTTCCTCATCCTGAGTTCCCTCTGCTCACCATCGGGGGTGGCGGTAGCAGATGATGACTTGACGGCCAGAGCATCCTTTGTTTACTGATATGGCAGGCAATATTGTTCATTCACATACCGAGAAGTGGAACTTTTGGATGTGACATAACAAATACATGTTTGGTCTCTGACCTGACTTCCTGGTACACAGCTCCTAAAATCCTTACACTCTCTGTAATGGTATCAATTTATATACTAATGAGACAATGGGGCTAGGGGGTTCCTGGAGAGCCAGGATGGGGGCTGGCTGCCAGGGGAACCAACCCCATGATTAAAGGATTAGAACTTTCAGCTCCACACTCTCCCCTACCCCATTCACCTCCCAGGAGGGGAGCAGGCTGGAGATTAGCTTCAAACACCAAATGCTCAATGACTTCATCAATCATTCCTACACAATGAAGCCTCCATAAATATCCCTGGGGTTCAGAGAGCTTGCAGGTTGGTGAGCACATGGAGATGCTGGGAGGCAGTGCACTCAGAGAAGACACAGAAGCTCCAAGCCCCTTCCTCCATCCTTTGCCCTCTTCATCTCTTCATCTGGCTGTTCATTTGTTTCCATTAAAGCATCCTTTGTAATAAATCAGCAACAGTAAGTAAACTGTTTTCCAGAGTTCTGTGAGACATCCTAGCAATTTACCAAACTCAAGTTTTTACAAACTCTGTGAGTATGGAGAAATAGTTCTATCTCACAAGAGGGGGGTCAAATGGTCATTTTATCGGTAAGTTTTTGAGAAACTGCCACACTGCCTCCACAGCAGCTGCCCTGCTGTGTGCTCCTGCTAACAGTGCGTAGGGCTCCAATTTTTCCATATCCTCACCAACACTGGTTATTTCTCCTTTCTCTTCTTTTTTTTTTTTTAAAGTAGCCATCCTAACGGGCATGAAGTGGGTAGAGATGATTAACTTTTTATTTATCAAAGAGATACAATGTTTACCTGTTACCCAGGCATGGACAGAGTAAAGCCAGAAAGTCATTTTTCACCCCATCCAAACTGCACTTCCAAGAAGGCAGCACTGTTAACCGCTCGGGGCGTTTCCTTCGTATTTGCATTGAGCCCTGTGTTGGTCCTCAGGGTCACATGTCCATCTTTCTCAGTTCAGTTTATTTAGACATTTAGAGATTCTGCCAGAAAACTCTCAACACTGGGAAGGAAGACTAGGTTAAAAAGGCATTAATAATCCCTCATGTGGGGAAGGGCATAGATCGAGTGGTGGAGCGCATGCTTAGCATATACAGGGTCCTGGGTTCAATCCCCAGTGCCTCCTCTGAAAATAAATAAGTAAACATAACTATCCCCCGGCCAAAAAAATAAATAAAAATTTTAAAATAATGATCCTTCTTAAACTGGTGGTTTCTCAAATTAAACACATTTTGCACATCTGATCAAAAGTATTAAAAATGAACTTTTCTGGCAAGGGGTTCAAAGGTAGAATACTCTAAACCACAGAAACTGGAAATGAAAACAGATGGCTGAAATGGAAAGTAAATACTCATTCCTGTTTCATACTGGATATACATTTTAAAGTTATCACTCCTGTAATAGTGTTTCACCTCGTTTTCAACTACTGGATAATCTTTTACCATAAGGCAAGTGGCAGCAATCAAGAGTAATTCAATAATCACTACAATTTTTATAAAATGCTGTAAAGCATGCAGTACTCCAAAAGCGCCGTGCCCAACACTCACTCCCACGGGCACTGTGCTTTCTCTCTGCCTCATGGTTATAAAGCCGAAGCAGAAGTTCCTGCTTCAAGTTCATGACAAAGTACCTAGAGCTGCAACTGACAGGCTCTTGGCTACCACCATTTTCTCCAGACCATGAACTTGGGGGGAAGGGGCGCGCGGCGAGGGGAAACCATTTGTAATGCCCCAACTCCACTCGCAAACAATAAAATGGATGTTTCCTGACTACCCCAGACATTCATACGTGAACCCAGCTCTGCCATCACCTTGGCACCACGGAGCTCACAACCACGGTTCCACCTCCTCTCGCTCTGCTATGCACAGCATCCTTTTGGAGCAAGAATCAAGGCAAGCTGCCCAGAAAAGCAGGCTGTTTTAAGAAGTTCCTCGACTGGGACGTGAAGATTTTGGCCCTTATTCTTAGTAACCCACACTGTGCTCAGGGGAGTTAATTACCATTGTGAGGGAAAACTTCAGATGGCATGAATGTTTTTCTTTACATCCGTTATGTGATAAAACAATATTTACACACGGGGGTCTCAGGACGGAATGAGTGCTCCATTCCTGTAAAGAATAAAAAAGCATCGAAAGACCTCTCTAAAAATTCTATGTAGTGAAACATTTAATATGTAATTAAGTGAACTAAAGTATAAAATGTGCAATAAGATGCTATAGCAAATACCTAAGAGAAAGCTGATAATTTTCTAATCCAGGAATGGCCAAACTAGCAAAGAATACGGGACCCAAGGCCAAAAATGGCCAAGTCTGTCATGGGAATACAAACACAAGGTTTACAAACTTTCAATTCAACAAACTTTGAATGACTATTTACTCGGCTTTAGGTCATGTGCCAGAAGGTCAGGAATTATTGAGTATCTTACTATGTGCTGGGCACAGGGCTGAGCATACAGCCCACGAAGGGCTGACTATCTAGCAAAGAAAGCGGAAGGTAAACAAATTACAAGTAGTCCATTCATTACCACTACACAGCGCTGCAGGGAGTCAGGGAAGGGTAAATGAGCCGAGCCAGCCACCTAGAAGGGAAAGAGGAAGTGACGATGATATCAGAAGGTGGATGCCCAAATCCAGAAGCATTCAATTTCAAATGTGCTAAATTACTGTGGTCAAGTGAGCCAAGTCAGCCACCAGTCTCTTTTGAAGCAATTCAGGATTTCAAGGGGCTAAGGGAGCAAGAAAAGAAAGCCTGACGTAACCCTGAAGTGAGACTTCCCTGGGGAAGGGACATTTCATCTGAGGCTTTAAGGATGAGTGAGCCGTCAAGGAGCCACAGGGCCAGAGTCGTCCCCGGGACTGACAAGGCACAAAGCGGGGACAAGCACACGTGGAGGAGCCGGGATCAGCCTCTTTACGGGTCCTGTAAACCAGCTGGTGATGCAGCCTGGGGTTCAGCCACAGAGGGCCTCCCTGGCCAGGCTAAGGGACCGCTGATCAGCAGTGTCACTGAAAGGTTTTAGCAACGGGTTGCC